GGGGGACCCCCTTCGGGGCAGAGTTCGACCTTTGGCAGCTTTGCAAGGGACAGTGGTCCGGAGGGGCAGAGGGACTGACCGCTCGTCTTCCAAACTCGGTCGCTGCTGGAGAGAATGGGGCTCCGCATTAGGTCACAAGAGTGGCGTTAGGTCACAGAGGAAGAGAGACCCCGAGAATCCTACATCGCACAGGGCATCGCACATCGCCCCTCTCTCCCATCTCTTGCCCTGAAGACTGAAGATCCACCGTGCGGGGATCAGGGCTGAGAGCCCAGTCCCACGCCCGCGGTGAATACCCCAAACCGTGCGCGTCACAGTTTCCTCGTGTGCAAAAAAAGGGCAATAAAGGCACGGACGCGGGAGCGCGGTTTCGGGGATAGAGGGCTTTGTGTGCACAGCGCACGCGCTTAGGTCAAGGCCTGGCGAACCAGACAGGCTGGGGACGTGCTGGTCTTGTTACATTGAGGAAGTAGTTCCTTCTGGTTAAGTGTGCACCTGACACCCACCTGCTGAGCGCTGGACGCATGCCGAGCGACGAGGAGAAAGGGTCCCTGCCCTCCCAACCTCAGTGGGGAAAGTTAACCAGAATGAGGAATGGAAATGTGTATATGTACATTATATACATTATACTTAATGCATTTAGTATGTGTCTATCATATATAACGTATCTATATTTAAGTATAATGTACCATATACAATGTATCTATATTTAAGTATAATGTATTGCTATATATAATGTATTTATATTTATAAAGTATTTATATCTCTCTATATAAATATAAACATACAACTTACAATATAAAATTTCAGACCTATACATCTAAATATATTGGAATATAGTTCTAACATATATTAAACACAAGGAATATAATTACAATTATAAAATACATGAATTAATCATTACATATTAATATAGTATACAGTATTATATATTATATAATGTCATATATTATGTGTTATGTATTCTATGATTTATATATGTAAATCTCAACATAAATAGGTGTCATCTAATAATAAATCTGTATAATTGAGATATAAGTCATATATGTCACATGTTCTAAGTAATATGTACAAATGAGAGTATAAGTCATATATGTTACATGGTCTAAGTAATTTTAAATGATATATAATCACAATTATTTATAGCAATTAAGTGATACCTATATAAGTTAAAACACAGGCTTTAAAATGTATATTTGTATTTATTATATATTAGAGCAGGTGGGGTCCTAGATCACGGACCCAGGACAGAGTGTTCAGGGAGGGAAGCTCCAGGAGTGGAAGTTGAGGACTCAGCCTCCAGGACAGCGGGAGGGAGGGGGCACTGTCCAGAAGAGGGGACACAGGGGCTCCACCCTCAGCCAGGATGAGCCCAGCAGGACATACAGCTCATGCACCAAACCCAGGCCTTGCTGGTGCTGGATGGACGGGCCTCAGGGGACATCAGGACGCGGAGACTCGGTCTCTTCACTCCCAGGAGGAAGGTGCCACCCCCATGGGGGCTGCTGTGAGAAACAGAAGGGTGGGGAGCCAGGAGAGCACTGTCCCACAGAGCCCACGGCGGGAAGGCCATGCCTCGTGTCTGCACCCTCCGGCAAAGTGTCATTAGCCGGGTGTGGCCACTGAGCCCCTGGAACGGTAGCCAGAGCAGCTGGGAATCTGGCTTTTATTTATTTAACTTGGATGTCAGTGCAAATAGCCCTGTGAGGGTATCACACTGGACAGCACGGATGTAGGGCATTCCCATCCCCGTGGAAAGTTCCATGGGTTCGTTCCAGAGGAGCGCCCTCGTTGGGGGGTGGGTCAGGAGGACTCAGCCTTCTCTGTCCAGCTTAGGCCTCTGACCGTGTGCTCGATTCCTCCTTCCTAGGGGACACACAGATGCGTGGGGATGACAGTGACAGCCCAGGTGAGTGAGGGGGGCAGAGGAGCAGGACCCGGTGTGTGCTTCTTGGGGAAAGAATGTGCTTTGGTGTTGGACGTATTCCAGGCCTGCCAGTGCCCTGTGGACAGAGGACCTGAGCACTCAGGACCCTGGTTTTGTAATAATGCTTCCTATGTCACAGAACTGTTATGAATTGGAGACCTTTTGTACATAGGTGTGCACGTGACAAGCCCCCAGCAAACATGGGGGTATGCAGTAGGTGCTCCATAAATGCACGCTGCTGATAATCTGGTTCCACCTTCCCTGTTCCCCAGACCTGTCGACAGAGCATGTGTATATTTTCGTTGGGGTCTCTGTGGCCTTGTTCCTTTGTCTCCTCCTCCTGGTTCTCGCCTTCCTCCATTGTCAGCGTCGGAAAAAACACAGTAGGTCTCAGGGAGAGGTGGGGTGGCCTGGGGAGGCTGTTTGGGGTGTTGGGGAAGAAGTCCTCTCTTCTTAATTCACACCCCTGACTGTCCACAGGGCTCCCCGGCAGCCAAGATGAGGAGCAGAGGCCCCAGGAGAGGTGAGGCCCCTGAGACTAACCCCGGCCCCCCTCCCAGGCCCCTGCCTCCAGGGGGCCCCCCAGTGCTCACTGTACTTTCCCCCCCACAGGGTCAGCCCAGCTGTTGACCTTCCCCAGAGGACACCAGGTAAAAGGACGAGGAGGAGGGACCGGCCAGGGAGAGGGAACGTTTAAGAACATTCCAGGATGTTCTAGATGGAGTGCATGGTGAAATTCGAAGCTGTGGGTTTTCAGGCAAATTGGCCTTCCGAAACCCACCCCAGAGACCTGACCCCTTGTCCTCTCCCCTCCAGATGTGGCAACAGTCGGCAGACTTCCTGAGAAGGACAGGGAAGCGCCCAGCTCGGTAAGTCCTTGTATCCAATACCTACCTACAACCCCAATTTTAGCAGCTCGGTCAACAGTTTGGTCACAGTACCTTTCTTTTTTTACCTTTTATTTATTTACTTATTTTCACATTTATTTATTATTGAGAGACAGAGAGACACAGAGCATGAGCAGGGGAGGGGCAGAGAGAGGGGGAGACACAGAATCCGAAGCAGGCTCCAGGCTCCGAGCTGTCAGCACGGAGCCCGACGCGGGGCTCGAACTCACGAACTGTGAGATCATGACCCGAGCCGAAGTCAGAAGCTCAACCGACTGAGCCCCCCAGGCACCCCTGGTCACATTATCTTTTGAGGCCTCCCCTTGGAGGTGGCATGGTCTCACTCTGTCATATTCTACCGCTCACACAGGCCAGCCCTGATTCTAAGTGGGAGGGCACTGCACAGTGGTGACCCCAGGAGGTAGGGTCACGGGGGTCACCTGGAGGCTGGCCACTAGGCTCCCCTTCCCACCGGCCCGGCCGCCCTAACTCACCCCAGGTCTCGCTGTCTCAGGACCCGCCTGCAGGAAGCCCCCAGGACGTGACGTACGCTCAGTTAGACCACCAGATCCTCGCACAGAGGACAGCCCGAGGCACGTTCCCACGGCCCACGGAGCCCACGGCTGAGTCCAGCACGTATGCATCCCTGGCCAGACCCTGACTCCGGACCCACCTGGCCTCTGCTCCTAGAGACATGGGAAGTCACTCCTGCAGAAGCGTGAGGCGGCCATTTGGAGGGCTTCCCTACAGAATCATCCCTTTCTGGAAAGCCATGCGGTCAGCTCTCCCGGAGGCCAGAGGTGCACTCAGGAGACTCCTAATCAGCGTCTAGGAGGTTCATTAACCACGTGGTCCCTCCGAAAACCAACTAGATGCTCACAGAGAATGTGGAGCACTTCATTTACAAACACCCAGAGCTACAGACCCCTGGCAGTTTCCGGAGACTCAGCTATGGTCCCACGGTCACCCACAGGTGATTCCAGATGTGTCCTGTGTGTCCCCACCTGCCCCCAGAGGCTCTGATTTACTCGTCTTCCAGAGTTCAGTAGTTGGCCCTGAACCCGGGCTATACTTGGGCAGCTGATCGCTGAGACCCTGTTTTCTGGATCATGCTTCATTTTGTTCGCCAATAAATGTTTTCACGGGCCCAGCCTGCAGCAGCCCCGCGTGAGGAAGCAGGACTCACGGTAACTTGGTCCTAGTGTCTGCCCCCAGCTGAGAGCAGGAAACAAGACAAAGGGTGAATCCGTGTTTTCTGAACTGAGTCTCCCACGGAGGAATGAGGGAGACATCTGAGGGGACGTGTGCCTGAATAAAAGTGCGGATGATACAGCCCCACCCCCCCACATGCACGTGCCCATGAATGCACCCACGTACACACACACACACACACACACACACACACAAGTACA